TCCTATCCATTGAAATATTTTGGGGTTGTTTTCGTCTGAAGGATATAGAGAAAGACTGCCTGGGAGCCAGCCTCCTGCTACCCCCTGTAACTGAGCCCTTTGCTTCTTTGCTGACCCTAACCTAATAACGCTAGTAGGGAAATATTTTGGTAAAATGAGTTTAAGTCAGGCTGAGTGATTGCCAGCAAAAGAAGTAAATCAATGCCCTTTCCCTATAACCCTCAAAATAACCTCATGGCTAAGGATGCTCACATAAGATAGGATCAGTCTGGGATAAGTCTAATGTGGCCTATGCAACATGCTAAAGGTCCCGTTGCTGCTCCCCATCAAAATTTGTCTGAGGCTCCTGAGGCTTTGTCCAGGAATGGCCAAATGCAAGATACCTGGGGGATCATGCCAAGGAATGGAGATCCCGTACTCGGTACTGAACCTCAGACTTATCACTGACTGGTAATCTCAGAAGGAAAGAAACACAGGAGATAAAATACATGCCAAATACATGCCAAATGGTAAGAGGAGCTATGCTAGGCTTGCTTAGGGAAAAATCTGTACAGTCCTTTTGTTCCTGGTAAATTATCTATTCGATTTGCAGCTAAAAAATATTTAGATGACCTTGGTAAAGTGAATGCTGCTTTGTCATCCAAGATACCTGACTTCAGGTGCAGGTCAGAGGTATTAGGGGACCTGAATTAAGAGCAATTGTGCTTGCTAGCACCCAGCACGGTCATTGTCAGCTACACTACAAAGCAAGGAGCACCACTAGTAATTGTCCTCTGGTGAGATGGAACATGCACCAGCGAGCATGGTAACTCCAACACCCCCACCAGGGTTAGAGAGGCTTCACCAGCCTCACTGAGAACAAACCTCCCCATCAAACCGTATCTGCAGGTCAGTGGCGCAACTCCGTACCTGAGAGACGGGGGGTTTGGGAGCCGGAGGCGCTGGCCTGCTCGGGGGCGTCCGCCGGGACACATCCTTTGTGGCTGCTGGCCACGCTGGCCCAGCAGGCTGCCCCACACCACAGCTGTAGCCAGTGGAGAAGGCAGATGGCTGCTGTGTGGTTATTTGGAGCCCTGGAGCTTGCTGGGGAGGAGGTTTTGATGGGATTTCAGGGAAGCCAATCACCTGTGCAGAAGAACCACAAATCCCTAGAGTTAGGTATTTCCACTCCAAACCACCTTTTCACTCTGCTAGATTTTTGAGGATCTGCATGAGGTCTTTGAGCCACACAGTAGAAAATAGTGCCTGCAACACCAGTATGCATTGTATATATCTAGTCGGTGTTGATTAGATAGACTGGGACAATTTGGGATCACAAGGCAGAAATAGGAATCAAGAGAACAGAGTAACTCAGGTGTTATCTTAGAAGTGATGCTTGCAAATAAACCTAGGGTTTGCAATTTATACAGTTTTGAGAGGAGGACGTAACAGAACGTCTACCAAGAGAGACAAGCGGCCACACAGGCCTGGTCAAATCCGAGCTCCTACCTTTAAGGAAATGGCTAGAACTAGATGCTACATTCAGCTCCCACTGACTTTCAGTCATGGGGTATGTCTGTCTGGTTTTCCCATCCTTTGATAAATCCGTTCCCCAATTGCAGCATGAGAGGGAACCACATCCCACATCTCAGGGTGGTTGCATCTCCCCCCAGGGGGGTGGAAGGTGACCCTGTCCCTTACCTTCCTCTGCTCCTGGGGGGTCTTCAACTTGAAGGCAGGGTTGGCATGCCCATTTCCAGAGGTGTCACTGACCAGGAGAGAAAGAAGAGAGTGTTATTTCCTTTATACGTTTTCTCCTTTTTTTTTTTTTTTGCTGTATTTTCTATTATATTTCAACTGAAGTCAAAAAAAAAAAAGAAGCAAATACTGACTACACCAAACTGGTGTAGTTATATTCCTCACCACCTTTGCAATTTCTCTTCTGTTCTGGCACCGAGAGGGGGTGGATGCAAGCACACAAGGCACAACACTGACAATTTACCTGAACTGCGGTGTCTTCTTTAGAGAACAGATGGCAAGTTTATTCCAGCATTTCAGATAATAGAATAAAAGTATGATTCCAATGAGGAGGAGAATGGGAGCCAGGACTGCAAGAGTTACTGCGACCGCTGAAGGGCCTGAGGGCAAGAAAGTAGAGTTAATTAAGTGAAAAACTCTCTGCTCCCAATCTAACTCCAGTCCTTCTGAAGTGTCACCATGGTAGAGTTGGTCCCACTCACCTTTGGGCACGGGGGGACCACTGTCCAAGCTTCCTCCCCTCCCCTGCTTGTTGCAAAACGGGGGGGCCCATCCCTGGTCACAGTGGCAGTTCTTGTTGTTATTGCAGACCTGGGGCAGGAAGACTCAGAGACTTTAGTGCCAGCTCCTAAAGAATCTGCAAGCTAAAAAAATTAAGCCCTGGATGGATAAAACACTACAGAAGAAGCTTTATTTAGCATAAATAGGGAGTTAAGTGCCTGGAAACATTTTCTTTTCAGGGATAGAAAGTGCCTTTTATTTCCTCAGAATTTCTCCCTTTCTCCAAAAGACAAAGGTTCTTCAGCTGAAGTGGCACTAACCTGGATTCAGGAGAAAAGCGGCATCTAGAGATGCCTTTCTCTTGTTGTTATCTCTAAACTGAAGGACAGTCTTCCCTTCCATCCAGTGAAGATTTCTTATTGTTTAGGTTTATTGCTTGGCCCATTACTATTTGTTTTATTGTCTAGGCAGCCCCTGGAGGAGGGGGCTGATCCCTCTGATCAGGGATGTCCTGTGCTAATTGTAGCATTTAATTTGGTCCTGGGGAATAGCTGTAGGAAATGATTGACAGCTTCATGGATCGTAGGAAACGAAGCAGACTGGGAATGAAAAGGCGAGGGACTCACCTTGCTCTATCGGGTACATCACAGGGCCTCCCAAACTACTCAGGGAGGCACACACTGCTGCATACTGCTGTATTTATCACTCCTCTCCATTGCCTAACTGGACCACGGGGATGGCGAGATGCTGATGTTTTGTGCCAGAAAGATCAGCCTTTTCTTTCCATCCCCTGGGGGCACAGCAGAGCACAGTTTGGGATAAACTGTTCTACACATGACTTTTTACTACACTTTTCCCTCAGTAAGTCTGATTTTGTTTTGGTTTGGTTTTTTTTAATTCAATCTAAACTGGGCCAAGAAGATTTTTCTGTAAGGTTACCCCTTCTACCTTTTTCATTCATTGCAATTCATATTCTTCCTGTAGACCTCCTTAAATGCTATGCCAAAGGGATACTCATGGACCAGAAAACGCATCAAACATGAAAGGAATGTGAAAATTAATAATCAAGAAGCAGAAGTCCAGAGCGAACCTAAGCATGGTATCAGAACTGAGCTGAACAACCATCCACAGATGAATGGCAGCCCATCCTGTTTCAGTCTGAAACGGAGATGAAAAGGAAGACACCTACTCCGTGCCCGTGGCACTTCTTGCTACAGCTTTCAGAATCAAAGATGATGGATGTGTTCTGGCAGCGTCCCTCAAAGCAAACCTGCAGAGAAAGGATCCAAAAACTCAGTGTTAGCTCTTAGTGTTATGTACCGTATTATGGCCTTGTGTTATTTTGTGATTTGTGGGGTCCCTGTGCCTTGGCAATACAAGTAATACCATGGAGAGAACAACAGGCCATGAAGTTAACCTGGTTCCCAAGCAAATATTTAATCACTACCCTAAATGCCAGCTAACAGACATCAGGGAGCTCAGAAGTCGATAGCTTGGCCATGCCCATGTGGCAAGTCTGAGCAAGACAACCTCAGCCAACTAGCAAATCCCAGATTTAGCACTGGCCCTAGACTTCATCTGGCAAAGACTTAAGGTATGGCCTTGGGTGTGTATTCTTCCATTGCTTCTCAGAAGCCTCTAAGAAATTATTTTTCTAACAAACATAAAAATCCCCTAGAAAGGTATTAGACATAGAAAAGTAATGGCTTGATAACCACAAAGCACTTCCCAGGTGGAAAAGTGATACCGTGAACCTCCCCCAAGCCGCTACAGGCAGGGCTGTACCTACATGATGGCTCCCACATTTTGTTCCTGTCAACACCAAGCCAGGATCCAGCATCTCCTTTTCTTCACTCTCAGATCTGTACACATGGGTCCCTCGGCACCTCAGCTGCGTCCTCTGTGTGCGGATAGTTGTGTCTATGGCCACCGCATTGGACTGCAGGGGTTTGGAAGCAGAGCTCTGGCACTGGATCTTCCCACATTTAGCATCTCTGATTTCAAAGGAAAGGCTAAAGTGATTATCTCTTGCTTGCTGAATGTTTTGCAGGCATCAGCTCTGCATGTAAATTAAAGCAGCAGTGTTGAGTCATTGTTCAATGGCAAAAGAGCAAGCACCTCCCAAGAGCTGGCCCAAGCAACAGTGTTTGATGGGTACTGATGGTACCATTTCACTGTCCCCATGGGCAGGCCAGCCTCAACAAAATCACAGATAAGACTAAGAAGTTTATGCCTGAGTTTAAAAGCTACATTTAAAGTTATGGATTTGAAAATCCTCTCTTCTGTTGATTTGAAAAAATATCAACTAGATGTTTTAAAATGCAAAAGGCAGGGGAAATGGTAAACTTAAAGCTTTAGTCATAAGGGCTCTAAGTCCATCAAGGATGCAGCTGGTTTCCCAGAAGGCAGAGGGAAGGAGTGAAACCAAAGCACAGATCAGTTTTATCTACTGGCCCATAATTTTGTAATATATAAAAACATCTTTTCCAATGAGCAACTCTTGGCTGCAACTCAGCTTTCTACCTCATCTCACACTTTCTGTAGTTGCCGTAGATGTCCTTCCCACAGTTCCCATAGATGTCTCCAGCAGCATTAACCTTCTCGAAGCAGGTGTCTGGTGCTGGCCTTGCTCCTGCATGGAAAAAGACTCAGGTGGCTGATTCCTGTGGAGCCTGGCAGCCCATCCACCCTCCATGCCAACCACTCAGTTGTTCTTTTTCTGGGATGGTTTGAGCATGGGAAATATTTGCTGCCCCCTCCAAGCAAGCAAGGCAGGAGAAAAGACTCCTCAGACTTTGCCACTGATAATGGGTGTGGAAGGCACTACTGCCTTACACAGGGTGAATAACAGCAGGGTGCCACATAATATTGCCTGCTCAAAGGACAAGGTATTTTACTGCAAGTGGTGTCCTTACCAGGCCCCCACAGCTGCACGCACTGGTCTTTATAGGTGAGACACATGCCGCTGTAGCAATAGGCCTTTCCTCCATCGCAAGAAGCCCCATCGATTTGGTAAGAGTTGGGGGGGCAAAATGGTGACTCGCCAGTGCAGTATTCTGGGAGGTCACAGAGTCCCGATTTTTCCCTGCAGGGAGTTCCCGGAGACATCAGCTAAAAAGATACAAAGGGAAAAAAATTGAATTATTGCTTGGCTCCTTTGTGGTTCCATGTCTGCACAATGTCTCCTTGTAGATAAGAAAAAATCTTGCAGACCTTCACCCACCTTGTCTTAGGTTTTTTGAGGTCAGCAGTGATCCAAATGGCTCTAACTTCATTAACTGGGTGAACTGTGTAGAATCAAATTAATGACTGGATCCCTTCCCCAGGTAGCAATGAGATCATGCACAGAAAATAAGGCTGCCAGATCTCAAGGGGACACCGATCCATCTCACTCTACCCTAGGGTAAGATCTGATTTACCTAAGCCACCTCTGACAGATGTTTGTGTAACGTGTTTTCAAACCCCTCCATGTTTGGGAAGTTTGTTTCAGTGTTTGCCTGTCATTTCTGCTGCAGATATTTTCTTAACACCTAACTTACGTCTCCCTTGCTTACAAGTTTACCGAGTTCATTCTTGTCCTGTCCGCCATGGACATGGAGAACAGAAGGGCATGCACACATCTGGGAGGTTTTCCAAGTCTCTTGCGAAAGGGCTGAGTCCAGGTGGATTCCTGGAAAATTACCCTCCACATGCTCAGGATAGGTCAATGTGCAAACACAAAAATGAGCTTAAGAGAAATGTTTTCCTATGATCATTTTTGAGCTCATTTCTTGTCAAAACTTGAGATCTTTGGCTCCAAAATCAGAAACACATTTTAACCAGCCTCTACGAGGACTGCTGAGATTTAAAATTATAGTGGTCACACACATACAATCCTCTTTCCTAGTGTTTCTTCAGCAAGCACCTGGGCTAAAGGAATTCAATTGCATCCCAGAAAAGAGGGTTCAGAGCAAAGATAGCATCCAGCCTAATCCCCAGAGGAAGCGTTTGCTCTGAGAGCTCTGTCTAGATTTCTTCTAGAGCCAAAGGAGAGAAATATTCATACTTATTCATCCCACCCCTAAGTGTTTAAGAGAAGCAGTGCGACTTCATTCCAGCAGCATTCACAGCCCATCTTATCACAGGAGTCAACTGAATTAGTCGGCTGGAAGAAACAACCCCACCAGCTTGATGGCACTCATAGCAGTTGTACCTAAAAATCAGGCCATGCTGCTTGCAGGTGAGGAGCTGAACTCCACGTTTGGCTGTGTTTGCTCCCCTTTCCCCTCCATTTTTCAGCCTGACGCTTCCACCACCATTCTTCCCTCTTAGGAAAAGCCAGAGATCCCACCTTGCACTGATGACAGCAGCTGCCGTGGGCACATTCGGCACCCAGCTTCAGGGAGCAGGTGCTGGCGTTGCAGCAGGGGTTATTGCATTCCTGGAAGACAGCGAGATGCAGGGGAGTTTACAAGGCAGATGTTCAAGACAAGAACGCGCCCGAGCATCCAAGTGTGAGGCTGGCACTAATCTGTTCCTGTACATGTCCCTGCTCGCTGCAGGGGGGTTGGACTACATGACCTCTAAAGGTCCCTTCCAACCCCAAACATTCGATGATTCTATGATTAATTACATGCAAGCAAAGTAACAGCCTTCCTCCCTCAGTATGTGCATGATACCCTGCCTGTGCCAAATTCCAGTACTGCCTAATTGTATCCTATGTCGGACTGACTGGATACTGCAGGCTGTGCTCATTAGTGAGCCTGGGCTGCTGGTTCCAGCTCCCTTTTGTCTTATTAGCCAAAGCATGGATTTGGAGAAGTGAGATGCAGTGCTAAGAGAAGCCCCATCCTTACCAAGAATGGTAAGCCACAGGTGAAGTGAACTTATATATGAAACTGCAACATCTAAGATCACTTTGTCTTTTCTTTTTCAAATGACATTTTCATCGCCCTGAGTTCTGAGATGCACTGTACCACATACTGTGAATTTAGTTAGACATGATACTTTACAACTTTGATTTACATTGTATATGCATTTACACACACAGAAGGTATGCATATCTCCTGCACAAATAAAAGCTGTTTACATATCATATAGCTGTACTTGCAAAATACATAATAAAATCATTGTGTCCCACTAAACCCCAAATGGTTGGATCTGAATAATCATTACCTCTGCCTCTCCACAATCACACTCCTCCCCCTCTTCCAAGTAGCCATTTCCACATTTCTTCCCACCATACATTTTTTTGGTATCCGGCATATTGGAGAGACACATCCCTCCACCAGATCGCAGATACTTCTCCAGCTCTTTTCTATTGCACTGGTTGAACACCTTGGGAAATGGGTGCCTGAATACAGACAGAGTACAAAAACATCATGACGGACTTGGGCAATGGTTTAGAGAACCAAAAAGTGAACACATGCAAATCCTGACAAGTGCCAAAGGACACAAGTCCTTCTCTGAGGGCTCTGAGATTGTGCAAAAGTGGATCATGATTCTGTGTGTGTGTTCAAAATCAGATCCACCTGGATTACATTAGAAAATAAGGTGTTTGCACTGCAAGACTGTCTAGTAATATAATGGCCTTAAAAAACAAACTTTATTGAAATGAAATCTGTTGAGTTAGCCTTGACTTTGTCAGCAGACAAGTGTGGCTGCCTTTACCTGCTCAATACCGAAGCTGTGGCTTATCCCCAGCTCTGCTTGAACAAGCCTAAGAATACAGCAGTCAGATTGTAAATAACTGCTTGTGAATTTAACTGACAAAAATAACGTTTCCCTTTTCCTATCTACTGCCTCACTGTGAAGGATGTGAATATTTTCTGCTACACGAACTATTAATTTCCACTGCTACAATGCTTGAAGCTGTGCGCTCTGTTCACGCCCATGCATGTGTGAGTACATCTTGCGTACTGCAGGCTCTACCTGTGTGCCAATGCTTAACTCCTCACCTAAACGTTTTTCCTTATTTGAAGGAAATCATTCACATAAAAGAAGGTATCTAATAGAAAGAATTTTGTTAAAAACTGCTAAACCCCAAGGAGGAAGGCTTGAGGAAACAGCAAATGTAGCTTTAAGTGAATGGGTCAGCTGATACCCTTACGTGACTGAAACATGGAAGCTGTCGTGGTTCCTTATCCAGAATGAGCTCTGGAATCCCTGTGGGTTTCCAGAGTCACTCTCGCTTCCCCTTTTTCTCAAAGCTAGCTATTTCTTCCCTTTCAGACCCAGGCTTGCCGTGGCTCACTGAAACCAAACAGTATTCTTAAGACAACAAGCAATTGATCTGGTTTCATGTCTTCTGACTTAGAAATATAATTCTATTGCTGTGCCTTTTAATAAAATCAGTTCTTGCCTGAAGAAATCCTTTTTCCTCTCTTTACCACACTGTACTGCATGTTGTCTTTTGCATGAGATGCTTTAGAAACCCTGTCAACTATCTGTGCATCTTGTGTGTCACACGAATGAAACCCACGTAAACCTCTACATGCCAAGGTCACACATGTTCTGGCCACCCCTCGTTTCTCCGTACCTGCTGGCAATAGGCAGTCCAGGTTTTACAGAAGGATGGGTGCATATATGCACTGAACTTGCTTTAGGATGATGTATCATTTGGTAGGATACAGGGGGAAGCACAAACTCAGAGACAACTGGTCAGAGGGGTCCTGAGACAGACTCTCAGGACAGAAGACAGCAAAATTTTCCTTTTTACCAGACAGTTTAGAGCTCCACCCCTAAATGCTGCCAGGTCCCTACATTAGCTAAAGCCAAGCTCAGGCACAGTAAGTTCATTGGGAATTTAGCAAATTGATACCGATACATGAGCCAGCATTTGCCCAGCAGTATTTTCTCTATAAACACGCTGGTTCCAACAGGCAGCAACAGACCCACCTTTAGCCTGCATCTCTAGCTCTTACTCCACCAAAGCTCTTGTAACAAAGCCCTTTGCATTTCTCCGTGAGACCCTGTAAGACAAACTCACCCAGTTGCAGAAGCCATGATGCAGCCTCCATCTTCTGCAGGGGTAGTACAGCAGCCATCTGAGTCATGATTCATGCCAAAATTGTGTCCCATCTCATGGGCAATGGTAGCAGCAACACCAATGGCATTATCAGAGTGATCCTGTGCAAGGTCAAAGAGGCACATCAGCATTTTACCTGTGCCTGTCCTGTGCACCTCTGAGCCAATGGGGTAAGCGGCACTTTTCATTACCACACGTAGAAAATATCTCCTGAAGGTATTCCTGCCTATGAGCAGGTGAGCTAGAGGCCTTCATGGGAAATATTTTCTTCCTGGACTTTAGGAGGTGTCTATTCTATGTATCGACCGCTGGCGAGAAACTTCTTATTAGGTATTAGCAATTACTTACCATGTTTACTCCTCCTGACTGGAAATCCGAGCACATGGCCATCACAGGAGCCAGGCCTACTGTGGTTCCTTGGAAGGGCATACCCCTAAAATCAACCCAGAAAGACCATGAAATGGCACCAAGGCGCTTGAGAAGGCAAGGCAGAGAAATGCATCCTGTGCTCTACAGCTTTATACATATTGTATAGTGTCAGGTGAACACATTTTCTTTAGTAATGTCTTCAAGTACATGACATTACAGCAGAGCTACAAAGCCTTAAGACCTATTTTTCTTAGGCTACGACTTTGTTTTATGGGCCAAAAAGCCAGTCCTATATTTTGTAACGGTCTGGTGACAAAAAGCACTCCCTCTGAGCTTTGCAACAAGCACAGAAAAGACTATTTCTGGATCCTTATTTGGTTACCATTTTGAATACTTAATTTACCTTAAGCCTGCTATTTGCTGGCTTGGGATTCAGGGATCTGACAGAGTACTAGATAACACCTCTGAGGTGCAGCTACGCTTGGCTCCTGCCTGGTGAGCTGGAATCCTGCACCATCCTTGCTGGCATCTCTGAAAGGGGAGCCTTGGAAATTGTGCTCAGGACATGACTAGGTGAAGGCAAAATACAGTAATGTTAAAGGGGAAAAAAAATCCCAGACAAAGACAACAAGGGAAAAGGCACTGCCTCGCCGCATTTCAGTCCTATGGGTTTCTCCTCTGACTCGCCACTACTTACTTGTGGGTGAATTACCATGGGAGAAGTAAGGACATCTAAGAGTTGCTGAAAATTTTTCTTCCAATGACATCTGCATTGCTGGCCATAGCTACTGGCCCTAATGAGATGAGTAGGATGAGGCACAGATCTTCAGCTGGCTCCCAGCACCCTGTCCCCTGTGCCTCAGAGGGATGAGTTAGGAGCAAATGCTTTCTGCAGAGGGCTTAGCTTCCCTTTACAGGCCTTGCTTGTGGTTCAGATTTTCTTGAAATGGTACATATAGCTGTGACAGATCACGTGCAGCTGCCTGTGATACACACACACAGTAAAGCCGATGCACTTTGGTGCTTGTGTATTGAGACTGCTGCATAGACTGGGACCTCCACTTTTCCTAAGGTGATCATGCTCTGGGTGCCCAGAGCTTAATGCTGGCTGAGCAGCCACTACATACATCTGCCACTCTGAATCTTAGAACCATATAATCTCACATACTGATTTCTCATCCACCCAAACTACTTGTTCGAAACAGGTTATTTCAGGAGAAATAAACCTACGTGATGAGTTGGGCGTTATCGTGTTTTCTGTGCACTCGCTCCTTGCTACTCCAAGCCAGAAAGGACTTCAGGGTGGAGTAGGGGTTCTCTGTTACATCACATTTATTCCAATTACTCCAGATCTCCAGCCCCACCAAGGCAATCCGGATATTCAGGGATCTGTAAAACTAAGATATAGGAAAGAAAAGAGATGACAAAATGAGCACCACTAATTTATTTTACTGTCATTTAAATCTTGTATATAAACCCTGCTAAATGCTACTACAGACACACGCGTCCAGAGAAGATGTTCTCTATGGAAATGCATTGCAGCTTAGCACCGCAGCTCTGCAGAGAGGAACGTGCACCACCCACAAACCTAAACTCAGAACTAGAAATGCTGAACTTTCTTTTTTAAATGAATGACAGAGATATTATCTATCGAGAAGAACAAGGACTGGCAACTGAGATCATGTTTATCTTTAGATATGGCAAAATTCCTGAAAAGAGGAAGGAAGTAATCTGCTGCCCACATCTGGTACAAACAGGGCAAGTCTTCACAGACAGGGGTTGAAGGGAGCGGTGGAAAGAGTTTAAGGGGAGAAGGGGGGTATGAAGGGAGTAGAGATCTGAAACATTGTGACATTTACTTCAGCAGCAGTGGATACCACTGCAAGGATGACCTCTGAAGGCTGCTTCTTCACTTCTACTTGCCAAGATTTCTACAATTTGAAGTGAACACCTTAGCCCCTTGTCAAAAAGCAGTACTTAGGTAACACAGTTAATATAGAGATGTATTAAAACACAGAGATGCTTGTGCTGGTCCCAAGGTAAGGAATGGCGATTCCCCCACCCTGCCCCTGATGTCCAACAGCAGAATTGTTTGTGAGATGCTCTCCACTCCCCAAGGCACTGGGGAGAACAGCTTGGAACATTATTCTCTCTCCCAGGAAGGCAGTTTTCCTCTGTCACAATTAATCCTCAGAATTCATGATCTGGGCTTTGCTTTCCTCAGTTCACGCACACCTGATCTCACCTTATCTACGTAATTAGCAGCCTCCACTAATTTAAGCCTTGTTGCTTCAATGTTGAAGTGATGCTTCTGAAACTGAACAAAATGAACACGTCAGGCAGCACAAAGGCAACTAGGAAAAGCTGAAATGTGTTAAAACAAGCCACATTACTCTGGGAATAAGAAGGTGACTATCAGGTGAAGCCTAAAAGCTTTCCTTCCCTGTACCTCAGACTATAAGCCGTACATGCATATTCAGAATTCATTCCTGTCATCCCACTGCAGCGATGCTACTCCAGAGGTGGTAGTAACTCAGTGGAGCAACCCAAACTTCTCAAGAGCCCCCAGAGCCAGGGGCTGACACAGAACTGACAAATTTGCCAGGTAAAATATATGGTAACATAACTTCATGTTTGAGGTCAAGGCTGCCACAGCGGTCATCCCGTCTCACTCATCCAACGAATGGGGGATGCATCTCACTCATCCAACAAATTTGCCTATTTAAACCACCTGGCAATTAATGAGTTAATTTTATCAAACTGTTTGATTCAAAGACTTAAAGTTGCAAAATGTTTAGATTTTTGTTTACCAGATGACAAAACCTGGGACTTTTCTTCTAGGGAGGGAGGCAGCAAGAGCAGTTAATGATGACACTGCAAGGGTGTCTACCCCAGCTCGTCTAATGAAATGGTGAACATATGGTAGTTCCTGGGTATAATGTGTTTTCTTATAGTTTCCCTGGTATCCTGCTGCCTAACAGAGAGGGCTGAAATAGGTTCTGCCTCTTTAGTTTTGTCCAGAATAAATTATAGCCCAGAACACTACGTGGCTTTCACTATTGGAGTTTCAAGTTGTAAATAATGAATAGGACCAGCCTGACTCCCATCTGTGCTGGAGATTAGATGATCAGCAAAACACTGCGTGGTTTGCACTGTCAGTAAGTACATCTGGCATGCTGTCCAGGCTGGGGATGGGGGAGGGATCGCTGATTCCACTGGGTCTCTTCCAGCCCTATTCTATGATCTAGAGCCTTGAACATGTCTATTTATGTATCCACAACCAGCTCAGAGCAGAGGATAATCACAGTTATCTTCTCTAGAGATTAACTGTACTGCAGAGTTACAAGCACGTCGCTCCTGGAAACCCCAAAGTCACCCTGGGGTGAAGGCAGTCTCTCCCATTGGTAACCAGAGCTAACCACTGGTACCTTGGGAGGCAAGGACCGACCCCAACCCTAGCCCTTCAACCAAATCGCAACCAATGGCTGCTAGGACAAAAGTGACCAAGACAGAGCTCTCCCTGCCTGCTGGTAGGGTAGGACCATCAGGATGGCAAGAGGAAACCTGTTGATCTCCAGCTGCCCTCCCCACCCCAGGATGCTCGCTCTGGGCCCAGCACCCAGTTGGTATAAACAGCATCCCTTTTCTTACCTCTGCATAATCAGCCACGAGCAGAAGCTCCACATACTTCGTAGACTGCAGAGTCTCCCGTTTCACCTGTGGCATCCGCAACACAGGTTATTTCCCCAGTATCCCCCAAGAAACTCTTCACAAAACATACATATAGGCCATTTTTCCCAGTTTGCTTTTCACTGCCCATTCGCCCCACCCCATCACATGCAGGGACCTTTAGATGTGATTGACTTGTAGCTACCAAGTCAGTTTAGCTACAGCAAGTGCCCACGTGCCTGTCCGGTCCTCAGCCCACCCATTTGTTCAGGTATCAAATGCACAGATTTGTGCAGGAACAGCTACAGCCCAGTTCCTCATGCTACACAGTGGTCCCCAACACTCATTTATTTCCCTGCTGGAGCCATTATTTGGCAACCAGCTTGCTACAGACCTTAAATATTCTCCTTCATTTCACTGTCTGAGCTACGCTCCCAGAGAACAGCAGGCTCCTCAGGCTTGGAACAGGTGGGAAATTTGGAGCATCATGCATGGACCCAGTTTGAGCCCTGCTCACCCTCTGGCGAGATGGTTTCATCCCAGTCGTGAAGTCCCTGAGCCAGTCCTTGGCTGCGTCCCCAGTGCCCTGGTAGCCACAGGCTCCTCTCTGCAACCTCAGGTTGTCCAACCTGTAGATCAAGTGCTGGTTTGGGCTGTTGGGAACTGGCTCTAAGATATAGCTGGAATTGCTGCTCAATAAGATAAGTCCTCTGTTCAAACAGGAAGCAATAAAAGGGAAAGTTAATTACTATCACAGCAACCGGAGACAAATCCTTCTGCTGCTACTGAATTCCCATCTGACCCTGGCAAAGCACTTATCCCTACCAGGCCATTCGGTTCATTAATAAAAAGGACAGGAATATTTTGAGTTCAGAGGGGGGGAAGCCCTGAGCTTGCCTATATTAAAATCTATTCAGCGAGTCTCAGACATTCAATTAAGGGGCTATTGGAGCATGTGCTGCAACAACGCTAACATGAGAAGTGCTGATTTTTTTTTTTTTACAGTACAGCTTCTTCCTTTGGGGCAGTGGAAGCTTTTCAACCAACTGAAGATAGTGGACTTTAACAGAACTGACCTAAAAATGTGATGACTTTGTCAACAGAAAAAACCACGGCAGTCTCTGGGACTTGCACATAGCCACACGGTTCTGGTTTTCTCAATGAGCGTGTTAGAGCCAGGAGAGCTGGGAGCCAGGAGAGCTGGGAATCTCCCATGTTTGATGCCCACTAGAAGATGCATGGCTTGATGGGCAGCATGCCTCCCTGTGAAGGCTCAGGGTGAACACAGCCACGTGTGCTCAGCTCCTGTGCCTTCCTGGCAATTAGAAAACGACATCAAGGAGTTACCACTGACAGCGGTGGGGTGCAGGAACGCCACCACATGTGCACATCAAGGAGACATCTCTGTCTCCTCTGCAGCTAGGCAGGCAGAGCCCAGGAAAATGCAGGCTGACAGAAGAAAGGCACCCCTGTGACTACTTTTGCTTTTGGATAATTTATGGTAAACCGCAGGTGGCTGCTCTGTCCTGTTTATCTCACTGGGCTCTTTGGCCTGTGCTACATTCACTTGAAGATGTCTCAGGTTTGCTTTGGCATGGGCTGTTTCCTGGCTGGAGCCGGTCCCACCAGCACAGCTTCCAATCGGCGCTCGAGAGCGGATGACCGCTAACATCAATAAAGCCCATGTGGTGTTTTGGAAACAAACTCTGAGCTGGTGTAAATGAATGCAGCGCCTTGGTCGCAACACGCCATTTCATTTACTCCTGCTGAGGATAGAGACCGCCTTTTCCTGCCAAAGACTCCATTACTACCAAAGCGAAGGTTTTAAATGCATAACACACACAACCCCAGCGCCACCCAGGGAGAAAGCAGAGAGCGGGGCTGACGACCCGGGAGGAAGCTCAGACTTGAAGACTTTGCCCCAAAACACACACAAAAACTTGTCAGGTGTGAGAGACTGGGAGAAAGAGCAGGTTTCTGCATTAGTGTAGAGAACTGGGCTGGGGCATGACGAGTCCTGGCCCTGTCTCTGTAAGGGATGCAGCCCTGAGTCACTAAGGAGAGGTTGTGGCTCCGGTGGTCTATTGAGCTAAACTCACTCCTTGCACGAGCCCACGTTGCCAGCACAAAGGGGGAAGGAGTCTAGAGGCTGGCTAGAAGCCACGGTTACTAATGATAGCCAAATTTCTGCATTTCCCCTGACATACTCCCTTTTATGCCCAGGACCCTTGGCTGGGTGACATTTGAGAACAGGTCTATCTGCCCCAAAAGAAATAGAGCCACCGGGCTGCCGAGCGTGCGTGGCAGCATGCTGAGGAGCTGAGCAGAGGCGTTCCTGCAGCCCCAGCATCTCCAGGCACTTACCGCAGCCCCCTGCAGGCGCTGAGTGTGACGCTGGAGCGCTCCCAGCCCCGCACGACCCCGTGGTAGAAGCAGTGGTCCTGGAAAAGAAGAGGGGAGCAGGGTTGACAATGCAGTTTGGGGATGGATGTATGCTATATTTAGGCATCACTGAGTCCCACATTGAGTGCTGCTGGTATTCCAGTAATCAGTCTCTTTCCACTGCATTTGGCAGTTGACTATCGTAACTAGATCTCTGCGAGTCTGCATCGAAATTTGGCCTTTCAGCTGCCACGCATGGCCTGTGCAAATGCATCAAACGGCTCCTTGTTGCCAGTAAAAATTAAGAGCTTTGAATCCCCAAGGAAGCAACTCGGATGGCTGCAGCATTAAGGCCGACCCAAAGCTTTCTGCCTGTTACGGGAGCTGCCTATCGATGGCAGCTGGCCCCGGGTCAGGCCCCAAAGGACGTGCCTTCAGCCCAGAGAGGGTGACGCCATGGGCAGCAGGGAAGTCCCCGTCTGGGGGCTGCTGGCAAGACAAAGGCGGCCTCTGCAGGGACAAGGAGGCTTTGGGGCAGAAACGCCAACATATTCATCACATCCCTTCCCCTCGCCCCGGGGCAGTATCAGTAAAGATGATCTCATGGGGTTTTTATCTCTTATTTTTGCATCGCGACCAATGCCCATCTTTGTGTCACTGCAGCAGAGAGTCAGCCAAGGCCTGCGTGAGATCCGTAATTCATGGAATTTTTACTGAACAGGAGCCAGCTTACACGGGCTGGTTTTCACAAAGGCTGGGAACATCCCCAGAATGGAGTACCCAGTGGCAAAACTAAAAGCAAGAGGATGAGAAGCAGAAGGAATAAACGATTCCCCAGCACCCAGAGAGAGGGGACTAATGCTCGAGGCTGACCTGGGCTCTCGTATCAGAGCTTAGGCAAAACAGTAAGAAGTCCCCCATTGCTGTGGGAGGGAGACACTTTCTTGCTGGAACCCCCCCCAGGGCAGAAAGTCAGATCGCCCTCCTCTTCAGCTTACAGGAGACCCATGGCCTCGAAGAAAGGCTCTGGAGAAAGAAGGTTACCCTCTCCTCCGGCCCCCTCCCTGGTCTCCCCTGGACACCACAGGAGGGAAGGCGCTCGCTGGACTCACCACGTGGGTCAGAGAGGTGGTCTGGGGCTGTCCAGTCTGGCTGTAGTAAGTCTCAGTGTAGCTTGGTGCAAAGAGGTTGCTGCAGATACAGGGAGGGGGAAAGAAAAGAAAAAAGAAAAGGAAAAATTACAGTGAGACGTTTCTTTAGACCTGTATTTCTGCTTCCTAGGTATGTTAGAAGGTCAGCCAGATGCAGCTCTTTCTGAAGCCAGTGTAAATGCTCCTGTTGCTGTGCACCACTGCTGTGGACTTGGGGCAGTTGCTGTTTGCTACCTGCAGTGTGAAACGACTGCAATACACAGAGAGAGCAGGCATGAGACAGATTTTGGGGGACACCAGCCGAGAGCTACAGCCCTTTCTGCCTGCGATTGTTAACAGGCTGTCCCCAGGGAGGCAGCGGCTAATGGCTTTGGGATGGCACAGGAGCCACCCGAGCTGCTGCAGGACCAGCGCCGCAGGCTGCGCTTCCCTGTGTGGAGCATGCTGTGGTGGCAGAGGGTCAGAAGGTGCCACATCCATCTATCTGCTGCCCTGGCAGGAGCTGAGCACTTCTTGGGGAACCCACCCACTTCTGAGAGGGTGCAGCGAGCCATCTTCCTAAGCAGTCTTTCAAGCTATTTATTAAATTAAAATAATAAAGGAGAGCCTGCCCCTGAGTTTGATCAGGCACAAGAGATCGACTTCCAACAGCTGCAAGTGAACAATTCAACTTTTACATGAGGACTTGAAAAAAAAACATTGGAAACTCAACATCATCATCCTGCTTTAACGAGTGAAAGACTCTGAGTGGAGTTTCCTTTACTACTGCAAAGTCATGCCCCAGATATCCTGGGATTAGACTCAGCGCACCGAGTCCACCATACCAAGCACACCACGGGCCAGCTCAGGATACATCTGGGCACTGGAGTGAGTTCTCAGCTCAAATCCAGACTCTCTCCAGTGCCCCAATCTGAGCACAATTATAAACCAATCTGCCTCTGCATTTCAACATCTGCCCAGAAGCCAATTCACATCTTTGTCCTAGGAAAATGCTGATTCCCTAATTTGAATTTGTTTGTCTCATCCTCATATAGACAATATTCTCCCTGTCTTCAGCACAGGATTAAACCAAAAGTCTATAAAAGGCGCTCCTGTGCACTGAATAGTAAGTGGTTTGATTTGGTTCCAGAAGAAACAGCCTTCCCCTTTTTAAACATCTGCATTTGCTAAACAGTGATGTACAAAAGTACAGCAAGTCAAAATCTGGGCCAAACCCAGAAGGTCATATCCTGTGTCCATCTCGGCAGCAGTAAAATGTAGGTTGAAAACAGTTTTTTAAAACAATGGGCACACTTCCAATAATTTGGAGCAGGATCACAGAATATGCCCCATCTATGGCACACACTTCTGCAGCAGCCCCACGGTGCTGCCAGGCCACCGAAGCGCTGCACTGGCCATGCCACGAGGCTGCCATGTGCATCCTGGGCAATGCGATGCCAGCGATGCTGCAGCTGCAGTTCAGTCCTTCTGCATCCCTCTTTAATGTATTTCATGCACCAGATTTTTGAACTATGATCTGCAAAAAAGCAAGAAAGAAAAAGTTTTCCTCTTTTCTTTGCTTGATTTCTTTAGGCTGGCTGAAGAAAGCTGTATCGGACGCAACCCCAAAGATTTTTCCATCTGTCTTGGTTTTTGGTATGTAGCAGTCAGGTCTAAGCCACCTTAAAAGCTTCTGTTTGAATTAGGGATTGGGTGCTTGTGATACCTAATTAAATTGGGTCAGAGCAACACGAAACACAACCTTTTATCAGCATGTTTGAAAGTCCTTCCCCCATCTGGCATCCAAGGGCTCAGACACCTGATGGCTTAGTGTCAGACAGAACTGTGTGCCACTGTTGATTTGATGCATTTGATGTTGGGAATACAACAGCTTTTATCTTCACTTTCAAAGTTCACTGTTGACCAGAAAGCTCCTTTTGTTTCTTTCTGATGTGTTAATTCTCACCACTACATCCTTTCAGTGATCAGAAGGTGAGATTGCTGCATCCAGCTATCTCGGATCTGTAAACTGAAGATCAGCACAGCAGCACCATCCCACAGAAAATAACTCCCTTCATCCCCCTGACTGCAGCAGCTTGCTCAGCACACGGCTGCAAGGAACAAATGTTTAATCAACAGATTGCATTAACTCACAGGAAATTGCCTTGAGCAATGTGCTCTGGCAGGTATGGTCAGTGTTAGAGACTGTCATGTCGAAAGCAGACACTAAACCAGTGTGCATCTGTCCAGTGCTACTAAAGTCAAAATTAGACACCAGCCCATGGATTCCAGTAGCTGAGGCTCGCACAGCCTACTTGTTTCATTCCCAAACAAGCATTCTTATGTTTTCTTCCTGCTCCTTTATTCTTGGAAAGCATTCACTATGAATAGCTATTTTATAAAATGCCTTGGTGCTTTGATTCCTGTCCAGCCCCACAGCGCTGCTGCCCAACCCCAGTGCCGAGCTGGGCAATGCTGAGCACCAGCTCCTGGCACACCATGTTTCAGGGCACAGGATGATGCCACACAACACATGGCGTGTGCACATCTCTTCCTACCTGCAGAATCAGGCTCTAGCCCCTTTTAGTGTGGATTAAGGAGCTGAGAGGTCTGCCTGAATTTTCAGGGATGCTTCTGCAGCTGCTGAGCTCAAAGCATGCATCATTTGGCTGAGTGGTGCCATGTTATGACTTTCTAGCCTCTCTCCACCAGTTGGCTCCTATCCTACATTGTAGACTCCCTATGATCGGTCCAGCTTCTTACTCTGAGCTGAAACAGTCTGTTTTTGAAGACCCTTCCCTGCCTTAACACAGGGGAGCCTCGTGGCTCTTGCAGCACTGCTGAGAAGGGCTATCACAGTGCATCAGACGGTGTGCGGTGGGGAGGGCAGTGAGGAAAGAGGAAAAACAACAGGACATCTTGCAACACCCTTGAGGTGCTATCTCACTTCAGAGGCTGTGAAAGCTCATTCCCAGCCCAGCTTACTTCCTCAGGTAGCATCAAGCTTTCCACCAAACTGTAAATAAATAGAAAAGAAGCCTTCTTTCCATCTCAGAGTGCACCTAAGTTATTAGCTAGTCTTATCCCTCTTCTCCACGTGTACCAGTTGTTGGATAAACAGGTGAGATTAAGGAGATGCATGTACCCCAAAACCTTAGCAGTGGCCTTTTCCTGCCATCATTTTAGGACAGCATCACCGCCAGGCTGAATGGCTGATTCCAGGGGAGCTCAGCGCTGCAAAGCATTTCCAGAGGAGCACAGAGCTCACCTCCTTGCTGGAGAAGGAAAGCCTGGAAAAAACAGCACTATTTGATCTTTATTCTCTTTTACATTATATGTCTCAGTGACTACCTCTCCAGCAGCTCCAGATGAAGCTGCAAAAGTCTGGATGCAAAAATAACAGCATTTAGAGGCTTGTGAGCTCCAGTCAGGCAACTGGCACACATCACCTTCCTAAAAAGCAGCATAGAGTCCACCATTAGAGGAGTTATCAGCATGAAGAATTGATGAAGGAGGAAAAGCTGTTTTCAGATGGGAGCACTCTCCTTTGCTAAACCTTGGTCACAGCTGCAGCCACGTGAGGCTGTCTGAGGCCAGGCTAAGCCACACAAGAGCACTCAAGATGTTCTAGAGAAGTCCTCACACCTTTCCAACAGCAACCAGCTTTCGGCAAGATCAGTCGTTCCCCGAGACCCAGCTCAGCATCCAGCTCAGGGTGGAAGAGCCTGCTCTTGGCAGGATTTGTTCCCCAGAAAGCCTTGGGAGCAGAGTTAAATACAAGAGAGGAAGCCAAACAAAGGAAGAGTGGCTTGGTGCCATAATGTACAGATGGCTTGAGACTGTTTCTGCTGATGACCGACATGGAGTGATCTTGGTCCTGCTCCAGCCTGTCAATGATATCATTGTCTGAAACCAAACCCTCCTCCCCATGCTGCTGTGTGGCTTGCTGGAAGGGCCCTGCCGTGCAGAGCCGACATTATAAGCCAGCGTGGCTCTGTTTCACCACATTGAGACGCCGTGCCGGGGAGGGTCACATACTTTGCATGTAAGCTAATGGTATTCAATGGGAGAGGCAGGGTGAGAGCGTGGGGCAAACCCCAGCTTCTCGGCGGGCAGCTGCCCCTGTGGCACTTGGGGACAGCACAAGAGCATGGCCTCCAGCTCATCCAGCCACCCCAGAGGAGCAGAAAAGCAGCTGGAGAGAGGGGCACAGCACACCCAAACCCTCCCCAAACAGCAGAAGGAAAGCTGGGGCCTTTTTTGTATGACCACGTTCATTTGAGGGAGTGCACATTTCCCAGCTGCTCTGGAGAACCTCACCCCTATTTTCCTGATAAATGGGAGCAGTTTTCTCTCGCCTGTGAAACATCACTTGTTAGCAGAAGTCTCGGAGGGGCTCAGAGCCCTCGGTCCCAGGGGACCACTGCGAACGTGCTCAGCTCCCCCAGCCAGAGATCACCCATGGGCACTGGGAAGGCCCCAGCAGCACACTGATGCTCTTGCTAATTGGAACAAGAAGGATTTTTTTATAATTTGGTCCCATGAGCAACTTTGTTTGGGTTCATTTTACAGAGCGGGTAGTCTGCATGAACAGCTGCCAATTTAAAAGGACCCGTGAGTATCAAGGAGACCAACATTTTTTATTTCCTCCCAGAAAACAAAAGCTAAATGGCCCATGAAGCTCTCGTGAGAAACATCAACTCTTAATTTTTCAGTTGTCAGACCAAGAAAAGTGAAGCCTGCAATCTTTTACATCTCTTCCCCTGTCCCTTTCCTCAAATCACAATAAATCTGTCCATTTAGGCTGCCAGCATCTGGGGGTGGAGAGAATTGGCTCTCCCAAGAAAGCTTAGATGTCAGATTTCCATCTACAATTTGTGGTCCTACTCCATTGCCTCTCAGTGGGATCCAAGTAGGGTAAGAAGGGGAATTCGGCCCCTTACCTCCCAGACACTTATATGTTCCCTAAAGTCAGAATTTATTATCAAAACCTAAGGTGACCCCAACTTGAACACAGTCAACACATGAGCAGGCAGGCCTGCTTTCTGTATCCACCACTAGTGGGAAATCAGAGATTTCACCTCTCTGGAATCCTCCAGCCAAAATCTGGCACTTCATAAAAATCAATTAAATCCAAATTTTTTTTTTGTTGGTGAGTTTCATCCAGACAAAGCCTGGAGCTCTCAAGCTCCCTTCCTCAAGAGCCTTTGCTGATATATCTGAGAACATTTACTGTGTGAACAGCATCAGTTTGGAAGGAAAAAGGTGCTTCCCAGCTATTGAGGTGGAACTAAACTAGCTATTTGTAATGACTGGGAAAATATCACAGGCTAAAGACTCTCTATCCCCTTTGCCATCTGCATCATCTGCGACCTTCACTGTGTAAATCATGTTACAGGACCCAAGTAAAATTTGTCACATAGCCCCTTGGCTTATCAACAGCAACCATAAAAGTTGCCTGGAGAAGAAAAAGGAAATAAAATAAATGGGAAACTGGCTGATAATGAGTCAGGGAGCAAAGGGCTTCATTTCCTCATCTCTTCCTCCCTGCCCCATACAGAAAAATCACCAAATATCCCAAGGGAACCAGGAGGCTGAAAAGCAGCTATGACTTTCCAGGTCCCAACCCTCTTTTTCTGATGACTCCAAGAGACAGTAGAGCAGAATAAACTCAATTTCCCTCCTTTACATAACCCTTACCCCCTCCCCATGCAGGAAGCCCGTTAGACACTGATGAGGTGTAGCCCATCAGTGGAATTATCACATATATCCTTCCTGCTTAGAGGTGGGCAGCAACCTCCCCTCTTCCTCACTCGGTTGGTGTAAGAGGCCTTGGAAATAAGCAAAAGCAGGAAACAGTGATATACAAGAGACATACAGATCTCTTATCGCACCCCTGAGAGCATCAGTGGGGCTGGAGTGCCCATCACCTACCCAGGTGGGGCCAGAAGGGATTGGAAATGATACTGGTCCCTATCAGATCCAATTGCCTAAAAATAACTATCTAGATTGCTCCTGAGGTCAGAACAGATGAGCTTTGGACTTTCTTTGCAGTGTCCTTAGCCAGTTGCTGCACATCTCCACTGGGGCTCTGCCACCAAGCGCCCCACACCACCATGGCTGCTGTGGGCAGGCAGCAGCCAAAATACACAGCCGTGCCCCACACTGCCCACAGGATCCACCTGCAGGCAGGGACATCCCCTGGAGAAGCCTCCACTGCCCCTTGCAGCTGAGATGGCCTTTCTCAAGTCTGCTCTCCCTGTGAGAGACCCAAAGAGGAAGAGAAGAGGGAGGAAAGTCTTGCTGAGACTTTTCCTGCACTCAGGTGAGAAGACAAATTCCATGCAGGTTTCTGTTGTGCAAATACAAGCTCTGCTCTTCTCTAGAAAGAAAAGGCTCACACCAGGCAGTGCTGCCACACACAGAGGATCTCAGCATCCCCTCCCTGCTTGGCTTAAAGCTGCTTTTTATTAACAAATGCAAATGCCTTCTAAAAGTCACTTTTCATCCAGGGTTTGCAACTCAGATTCTTCCGTTCCTAAGCCCTAGCCAAATTTAAAGCTGCTTTATAGGCATCTCTCCATATATTTGTTGTTTGCGCAGCTTTGAGCTTTCCAATCCTGCAGCTGCAGGACATGGTTTTAGTCATTTAAAGCAAGCCTGAGTCATTTGGGGGACATATTTTTGTCATTGTTCAGAAATGTTAAACAGTGTTGTGAACTCTGCTTGGAACTACAGTGCAGTTCTGCCTTCTTATCAAACCCCTGAACAGGAGATAACGCAATATGATGTTAACTGCTAACCCAGACTCAGAGGTGTGCTGAGCTTATTGCAAAATACAGAGTTGCACACAGTTCTAAAGAAACATTCTCAATAATTTATGCGTTTTACCTCTGCGGATGAACACAATGTCCTTTTCATACGGAACGTGAGATCACAGGCTGGGTGTGAACATTTCTTCCACAGATTGAAAACAGCACATTTCTTTCAAAGCTAACGCATCCCTACTAAAGCTGTACACATTATTACTTCCTCCCCCCCCTTCAAAGCAAGCTCATATTCTTATCAGCTTTGGCTCGCCATAAGGAGAGTGGCAAATGTGTAAGAAGGCTGCCTAATCCACATTTCACTAACTTGTCCTATTTCCTTTCTAGGTTTTGGAAACATTGGGTAAATCACATCCCAATCAAACCCTGCTGATGCCATTCATTTCGTGCTTTCTTCAAGCAACAGGAGGCAGGGAGATGGTTACGAGAGGCCAACAGGAGCCAGGTGGGTGCGTTCACACCCCTGTGCTGAGCCTGGGGACAGAGGGGGAGCAGAGCACCAACCTCGGCAGCAAAGCTGGTTTCCACAGGCTCATCTAAACTGGATCAATTAAGTGACCTAGAACTCTGGGACTCATTTTAAATTAAAAAGCCCAAAGTACCTTCCTTAAAGCTGCAATTCTGTTATACCCACTTCCATGTGAACTTGAAACCAGGAGCAGCCAAAGTTTCAGACAGCTTTGAAGGGATGCTTCCCACTTGGGGGATTCCAACTTCTCTTCTGCTGCCTGGGTGCCCAAAAACCCTTCAGAGAAGTCCCCGATACTGCAACTACTCAGTATCGAAACCTCAGCTAGAGCCTCAGGCTCCCCTGTAAGATAAGCAACAGCAGTGGTGAGCTCCTCTGGGGTGTTGGGGAGCAGCCCCAGGCTGAGAAGCAGGAACCCAAGAGGCTGGGCTGGACTCCACCTCAACAGCACACTTTGACAAGGAGAAACAGTTTTCATCAACTTAGAAGTGCTCTACAGATGCTGATAATTACAACATCCACAGGGCTCCCAGGGACTTCATGTTTTTGTTTGCTTCATCATTTCCCTTTTAATTTGAGTGTCTCTAAACTACCTCTGCACCTTCACAAGTCTCTGAAAAGTGGTGGCTCTCCAGAGCCCCTCATCTAATCAAGTTCAGACTCCCATTTTGGGATCGTGCCATCACCTTTCTTGATAAAGAACTTGAAGCCTGGCGAGACTCCCACGTGAAGCACTGCTATCTGTGAACCACTTGCATTTTCCACAGAAAATAAAAATAAAAACCTCCAAACCACTTGCTGTTTTTCATCAGTCCTAGCAAGGCGATTCATCCCGCAGCGGAAGTGTGTGCGCACGCTTAAGCTTGTGTGTATACCTCTCAATGAGGGAAAATGCATTTCAGGAAATAAACACAATAGAGACCTTCTATTATTATAATTCTGCACTAACACCAGCAATGAGTTTGCCGGCACTGGAAATAGCACAGCACCGCTCCCGCAAGGCACCTGGAGGTTACGTCATCATCCTCAGAGCACAAATGGATGAATTCAGCGAGGCTCCTTGCTCTTGCCAGCTTCTACTGTGTCAGAAATAAAGGCACCTTTGCATAGTGACTACGGAATATGCAAGACCTGACAGTCCTTCCACCAGGAAGGAGACCCCTGGCAGCGTTAGCAGTTGCATTGCTTCCAGGTTCAGTTCAGAGACTGGCATTGCTGACCCTGTCATCAGCCACAGCTATTTCTCCTGCATTAGACAGGACTGAGTTAGCAGTGCTTATGGTGCCAGGTCTCTTCTACCACTTCGCTATTTTCCCAGCTGAGAGATGCTAAAACACACAGAATTTATAGCTGTTTCTGTTTAGTTCTACAGAGGTGCGTGACTGCCTGGGAAATGCGTCCAGCTTTTGCAGCACTGAAACTCCCAGTAGCTTAAGTGGCCTATTACAGCAAACACCTCGCCGGACGTACTTGCCTTTCATCAGCCATCAGAATTCAGTCTTTACTGCAGACAGTGCCAAGAAAAATCTGGTTTTCCTCCCGAACGCCCTGATTATCACTTAGGTTTACACACTGCCATCAGAACTAATTAAGACCTTCTGACACTTCACTCTTTCAGGAGGAAAGCTGAGCCCCCAAGCTCTGTGGTTGGGATGTCCATATAATACATTTAAAATATAATCAGGGTCATTATTCCAAGGTTATTACTCCTACTGATTCAAGTAGACAAACATTTGGTCGTGTTTCCATAGATAAATCTTCAGACCCATTTAAAAAATAAATAAAACTCCAACAGTGCAAGTGGACTGCTTAGCAAAAGACAAGCTTCTTGCAGCTAAATTTCCAGCTGCTGTTCCACCACTGGAAACTTAATATACTCACAGGGCAGAGAGCCTCTGGAGCAGCCTCCAGACCAGAATCCTTCTACCTACCTTAATCTCCTGCAGCTTCAGCTGAATTCAATACACATCACGCCCTATGCTATCACACAGCACTGCTGTATCATGCCTGAGAGGGGGTTGCATTTCAGTTAACGCAAAAGCATTTTTTCAGTCTACTTTAGCGCGAAAGGCACTAATGGAATTGAAACTGTCACATTGTTTCTCCTAGGAAACGGAGCAGGACCTCTTCAGATCACAGCAAATGAAATCCTCATTAGTCACACTGACTCTAAAGCATTGAGCCATTTGGTAAACAGTGCTCTTCATGTCAGCAACATTTTCTAGTTAATGTAGTAAGAATTATGATGCAAAAATAAGTTTACACACTGAGGGTCAGGTCACCATCTGCTTTTTGCTGACAAAGCTCTGTTACAGTCAGCACTGCTTGGCTGATTAACATCAGTGGGGACTCAGACCTGGAATAACCTTGAAACCCAGAAAAGGACTTCCTCATCCTGTCTTTATCAAAACCCTGTTGAAATCAGTGGAGGTTTTCCTGTTGACTTCACCGTAATCCTTATTCATTATTTTAGTGAGACCACAATGCAAGACACAAGCACACTTACCCATTTTTCTCCAGTTCCAAGATGAGCTCCCGGCCTTCTGCCTTTACCTTAACTTCGGCTCTGAATGGATGCTGCGTGCAAAAGAGACGGTGCCTGTTACTCATACATCATCATGAACACATCCAGAAACACAAATTGTTCCCCTGGAAATTGCAGCTGACCTTACATGACTCCTAGCCTTCCTCCTACCTTCAGATCTGGAGTGCTGGGGAAGGGAAGGGACGGGTCATGGCAGCTCCCAGCCCCAGGCACGCTGCTGCATCCACACGGCAGAGCCATGCAGAGCTGGGAAGCAGAACGGGCATGCTGGTGGGATGCCGTACCTGAGCTGGTGACCCTGGTGTCTCAGGAAGAATAACAGTCCAGACAAGGCAACAAGTCCCAGCAGTGGAGCGCTTGGAGGTGCAGCTGGGCGGGAGGCGTGCGCTGCACCCCCTTTTCTCCTGTACACTATGCTCAGGACCACATCACAGGACATCCCAACTTGCCCCAGAGGTTTACAAGTCAAATATACAAGCTAGTTAACCAAAGCTTCCTTTGTTGTCGCAGCAGAAAAAGACATTTTTAGAAGCCTATTTCAGGACAGTGGTGAGGTTGACACACCAGAAGGAAGGGATGTCATCCAAAGAGACCTGGACAGGCTGGAGAGGTGGGCCTGTGTGAACCTCATGAGGTTCAACAAGGCCAAGTGCAAGGTCCTGCACCTGGGTTGGGGTAACCCCCAGTATCAATACAGGCTGGGGGAAGAAAGGATCGAGAGCAGCCCTGCC